GCCCCTGGAGTACATTTTTTTAAACCTAGATGTCAATGCATTTTTTTTATTAGGTAATACGACCACTGCTACTCCAGAATACAACACAGTAAGCATTACCAGACATAGCATCCATTCTAATATTTCAGCCTGCCTTCCCACACAGCACTTACTCCCAACTCATGAAAGCAAAAATCAGGAAAGCTAGAGCATATGGAACAAGGTATTTCACCACAACAGGATGCCTTCCCAAGCTGGGAGCCAGTGGCTCATGCCTATATTCCTAGCTACTCAGGGGTAAGATTTGAGGATTGAGGTTAAAAACTAGCCCAGGCAGGAAAGTCCATGAGACTCTCATCTCCAATTAACCACCAAAAGATAAGAAGTGGCACTGTGGCTCAAGTGGTAGAGTGCTTGCCTTGTGCTGAAGAGCTGAGGGGCAGCTCCCAGGCCCAGAGTTCAAGGCCAGGACTGACAAAAAATAAAATTTAAATTTAAAAAGTCTTCCCAAAAATGAATACATGAACCAAAGCAGATCTCCAAATGACTTATTTGTTCGCCAAAAGCAATCATCAATAGTTAGTTAACTTCATTAATTACAGCAGCCAAAGCAATGTGTCCAAAGAAAATATGTATCTTATTTTTTGAAGTGGTAGTACAGTTTGAACTAAGGCCCCCTAAGTGCTCTGCCACTTGAGCTACATACCCACCAACCCTTTCTGCTTTATTTTATTTATTTACTTATGTTTCTACGTGTGCCAATACTAGTGCTAGAACTCATAGGCTGGATGTTGTCCTTTAGCTTTATTGCTCAGGACCAGAGCTCTACTACTTGAGCCACAGCTCTGTTTCTAACTTTTTGCTGGTTAATTGGAGATGAGAGTTTCACAGAGTTTCCTGTCCAAGCTGAGTTCAAATCATGATCCTCAGATCTCAGCCTCCTGATTACCTAGAATTACAGGCATGAGGTACTGGCACCAGGCTTAATTTATTTTTAGAAAGACTAATCTCAAACTATGATCCTCCCACCCTCACTTGCCTGATATCAGGAACTACAAGCATGCACCACTGGAACTAGATCAATAAAGATCTTTAACATCTTTAACATGTGAATCACACAATGAAAATAGTTATTCAAAGAATGGTCCATCTGGAATTGATACTGTCCTAATTTTTTTTTTTAAAGAAAACACTCAGCACAATCCGAAGTAGAATCTACTGAAATGTATAATAATAGTGGTCAACATGTGTCTCAAGCAAAAAAATGACTCAGCTGAACAAATTTACAAACCTTGAAGAAATTCAAGATGTATGCTGCAATCAAGATATATCAAAAGGGAGCTGGGAAGGTGGCTCAGTGGTAGAGTGCTTGCCTTGCAATGCATGAGGCCCTGGGTTCAATTCCTCAGCACCACATAAGCAAAAAGAAAAAAGCC